TTTTTAATATACAAATGTGTCTCATGATATTAATAAATTATTTATGTCACAGCTATCAAGGTCATAGTTTTCTATTTAGAAACTGTTTTACTGGGATGAATACATTAAGATTTCTATTGTTTTCTATGTGTAATTGAATCTATAATTATGATACATATAATTAAAGGACCTTAAAATTTATAGCATGGACATTATAATTACATGTAGTAAAATGTTGGAAAGGTTTCCTCATAGTTTTATCACTGCCTATATGTGTGCATTGATGAGGTGCACATTTTTCTCTTGTATCAAAATCACTTTGGTATTTAACACTACTAATAGTTCTTAATAAATTGAGCTGAAATCCAGTTGCAGGAGTGGAGCAAAAGCAATACTTCCCAACATGGCCTGTAGATGGTAACAACTTCACAGAAAAAAAAATGTGGTAGCAAAGAGATTTTCATTGGATCAACAACGTGTTTACAAACATTAATTTTATCCTCAAATATTCCAATAATTTATTTTTTATTTAAATAGCTACAGAATTAGATCAAATGATCAGTTTTGGCAGATAATTCCATATCTTTATTTATCTTACTATAAAGAAAAATAAATCTCTGTTATAAGTAATGTTTTTTTTTTTTATATCTTGTCTTTTGTAAATTCCTGCTAATGAACAGGTTAGCACATAGCAGTTTGTACTGATCTATTTATACAGTGCTATCATATCACTTCTGAGATGCTTCTGCACTTTTTCTAGTTCTACAATAGCCTTTGTAATAGCAGATGGACATTGTACACTGTTACCAAATTTGTTATCTATAATTGTTCTCAAGTCCTTTTCATTCAAAGTTATTCCTAACTCAGCTCCATCACATGTATACATTGCATGTGGTTTATTTTTTCACAAAATGCATGACTTAGCATTTATCTGTATTGAATCGCATCTATCACTTGTTTGAACCAATACCCAATATATCCAAATCCCTCTGTAGAGAAGCAAATATTTCTCAATACTATATTATCTTACATAGCTTTATGTCACTTGCAAACCACTGACATATGACTTTCAATGCCGACTTTTAAAATCACATCCACTGGAACACCCAAAACTATATTTCTGCTAACTTCTTTAGTAGAAAGCAATTACGTTGTTTGGCATGACTTGTCTGTCATAAAGCCATGTTGATTTCTACTAATGTATTAGTTGTTGAAAAACAATTCCTGAATATTATCCCTTAAAATACCTCCAAATATTTCCCCAGCCACATATGTTAAGCTCACAGGTTACTAGGTTGAGATTTTGCACCTTTTTAATATAAGCACCACGCTTGCAATTATCCAATCCTCTAGTATGATTTCTATGAGAATATATTTTTTTAAATATTAAAACCAGTGATTTTGCAATTTCTACACTAAGGTCCTTAAGTATTAGTATGTGAATATCATAAAGTACTATGTGAATACGATATGGCTCTGGTGCTTTGTTTACATAATATTTAATTAATTGCTGTAGTACTTTATCCTGTGCAGTCTACTGTTTGTAAATCTAAAGCCATATATTCTGTTTTTCTATATACAGAAGAAAAGCATGTTTAGAATGTCTGCCTTGTCCTGATACTTCTTGATTGCTCTTTTTGGCTTTGAGCTTTTCATTTTCTAGTTCATCCATCTAACTAGACTGCTGGAATGCATATATTTGTTGGAGGGTGCTATTGACCAACTTGATTTAACTGTTGCTTTGTTTTTTTAACTTCTTAGTCTTTATTCATTTTCTATATATTTAAAACTTTTGTATACATATACAAAAAAAATACAAAACATATACCATTTAGGTACTATATTAAATATATATAATAGAGATAATCACAAACAAATAAAGGTACAGAGAGAGTATACCCAATGAAACATAAAGAGATAATAATGAATCAGTTATAATGAGATCTATAATGCAAACTGACCCGGGAATCTATCAAAACAAAAGAGAGAGCAAAAAAAAAAAAAAAACAGTTGAAAGTGGAAAAAATAAGTTTACGGTGGGCCGGAGGGCAATAAGAAGGTTTCAGGGTGTCAAGTCAGTTCACTCAAAAATCACAGGTTTATGTTTAAATATGATATTGCGTCCAAGGATCTCATATTTTATTATAAAGCTGTAATGACTTTGAAACCCTATCAAAAAAATATTTTTCTGCCTTACATTGGAAATTTATTTGAGCTTGTATTTCTGTCCAAGTTGGAATAATTGTGTTTTTCCAGTATCTAGCTATATAGATTTTTACTGCTGCAAAGATATTAATACATAGGTATTTCTTATCATTTTCAGATACTGGAAGATCAATATGGAATAGAAAATCCTGAGGAGTAAGCCTATATTATATAAGAAAAAGGTCTCCAATCTGATGTTCTAGATATCTTTTGAGAGAAGTGAGCCTGGGGCATCCCACCCAGTGGTGTATTTTAGTTTTGCGCTGCCCTAGGCATGACTAAACCTGGGCATCCCCCTAATCTAAATTTGCCCCACCCCTTCCTGTGAAGGCCACACCTCTTCCTCTTAAACTACACCTTTTCCTACTACTTTTAAAGGGAAACTATAGTGCCAGGGAAACAAAGCTGTTTTCCTGACACTATAGTTCACTATAGTGCCCCCCTCGGTCACTTACGTGAATCCAGCGCCGATTTCCCTCGACGCTGGGTCAAGCTCCTCCTCTGCACTTGCATTAGGCTTCCCCATGGGAAAACATTGTATCAATTCTTTCCAATGGGGATTTAGCAGATGCCTGATGTCCTCATGCACAGCGTGAGAACGTCCAGCATCAGTTAGGCGACTTTTGGTCGCCTAACCACCCTGAAGTCCCTCTGGAGGCTGTCTTGTAGACAGTCACTAGAGGTGGAATTAACCCCCAAGGTAATTATTGCAGTTTCTGAGAAACTGCAATAATTACACTTGCAGGATTAAAGAGATTGGGACACTGCACCCAGACCACTTCACTGAGATGAAGTGGTCGAAGTGGTCTGGGCTCCTATAGTGTCCCTTTAAGCACACTTACACAGACACACACTGACAGTCACACACACAATGACACACACAGAGACGTCACTGACAGTAAGACACACTGATTTAAAACACACATTTATTGACAGACACACATTGGCAGATACACACTTACAGTCACACACAAACACTCAATGACAAACACAGACTCACTGATTTTACAAACACACATTTCCTGACATACTCATTAATTGACAGACACACACACACACACACATGACAGACACACACTGACACTCATTGTCAGACACACTGATAGTCACATAATCAGAGACTCTCACTGATTTGACACACACAAACACACATGCATTAACAGACACACACATGCACTAACAGATACTCAAAGACACACACACACTCCTAGACATATACACTCACAGACACACACACACACTCAAAGACACATACACACACTCACATTTACACTCACAGACACACACATACACTCACATTTACATTCACACACATATACTCACAGACATACACACACATATACTCACAGACATACACACACTCAGACACACACACACAACTTAATAATGTAATTAAAAAATGTTATACCCAGCCTCCCTACCTGGAGAGCTGGAGCAGATTCCTGGGTCCCAGTGGGGCTGCTGTGATGCGGGCGTCTTCCCTCGCAGGCTGTCTACTGATGCTGGGAGCCGGGATATGATGTCATATTCCGGCTCCCACGGCATCAATTAACGGCGCGCAAGGGATCAGAGAGATCACAGCTCCCTCACTGCCTCCGAAGGTCAGCTGCCCGCTGGTGGGGTGAGTGGGGGTGGGTCTCTGTTAGCTGGCTGGAAGGTCAGCTCTTGCACACCCCCTATGACAGGGGGAATCACATGGGACACATTAGGGTGGCTTTTTTTGCCGCCCCCTAAATAGTGCCACCCAAGGCAAATGCCTGGTTTGCCTTGGGCTAAGTACACCCCTAGTGTATTCCCTCCAGATATGTACATGTGAACCAATATCTTATTGGCATCTCCAGCATTAATTTCATTGGGCAAAACAACATTTTGAGAGACGTGAAGGAACCATATTCCACCTTTGGACTACTGTAAAGTATTGCTCATGTAGATTAATATTGTGTATGGCCTTCCTAGTTAGGTGCCATACCTTGACTGTAATGGTGTGGTAAACCCTAATTCTAGATCCCAACAAGAGGTGGCTTTTGATTTAGTTAAGACAGTAGTTTTATCAAATATTTTACTATTGAGGTGATAATTGTTTAGGTAATTTGCAATTTGGGCCAGAAGGTTCAATAGGTCACGAGGTGGTAGACTAAATGTTATTTGTAAATCTGCAAAGGGGTGTAGCATGTCATTGACATATGATATTATATTTATATTATGGAATTGCCAATGAGAGATAATCAAATTTTCTACATATATGGGACAACACTGTGATAGGGTTTACTCTGGTTTACTCTGGTTATATAATTAATTGGAAGAAGTTTTCTAAATTTAAAAGTCCATCTTATCAAGCTTTCCAATATTTGGTTAGACATATTAAGACTTTTAAAATGTTTAGGATCTGGCCAGATAAGAAAATAGGGGTCAACTTGTATCAACCTAAACAACAGGGAAGCACAACGGGATGAACGTAGAACAAAACTCCATCAGCAGGGGAAGTCCTCACATGCGGAAGAAAGGCATTCCACTGGGTCGGATCAGGCTGTGAAAACATAAAGGAACAGGAGCCCAAGGGTTAAAACCGATACTTGCAACCAAAATCAAGGCCAGACGATGCAAAGTCCCATAACTCAGAGTGATTCAAACAATCACAGGTATATAATTAAAACCCCCTTACGACACAGGCCCCACTTACCATACCAAATTAATCGATGTATCTCACCTAAACATTAAAATAAACAGGGTGGGAGATAATAAACATAACATGAGTAATACAACCTGGGTGGGACAATATTAGCCTCCCTGTCTTTAATAAAATCATGACTTTTCTACATGTAATAGCAAAATCATGCAATTTTATAACAAGACACGAAGGCTCATATTGCAAGTTTAAAGCTGATCCACTACTACAGCAAACATATGAGGGGCTGTTCGAAAGTAAAATTCAAGGAAAGTAGATTCCCTTGACCAGTCAGCCATCCTCATGAGGTCCTCCAAACGCGCACCAGCAGTCATCATCGAAGAGCCTGAGGCCCCCCTGACCAAATGGGCACCAAAGATATCGGTATTAATGCCCACCTGAGTCAATAACCACTTCACCCAGCGTGACAATGTGATGCTAGTGATGGGGGTGAAAGGAGGATGAAAGGATAAAAACAGCTGCGGAGAGGAAGCAGTATGGTGTAGTTTGGTGCGATCTTCATATTCACGTACGCAAGCTACTGGACACAATGCCGGTAAAGTCGGGAAACTCAGATAGGATACCGATTTGATAGATGTTTTAGTGCGTCTGCTGATGTTAAATGTTACCCCGTCTGGGGTGTATGATCTGGCGTCAAAGTCCAGAGCTCGGACGTCTGAAACCCTCTTGCAGGAGACAAGGCAAAGCAGGCAAACCAACTTGGCTGATAACTGTTTTAAGGAGAGTGCGGAGTTAGAGGGCCAGGATGAGAGAAAAGACAACACAACCGTAACATCCCAGGTCATGGAGTAGCGAGGCCTGGGTGGTCGGGAAAGGTGAGAGCCCTTGAGGAGTCAACAAACTAAGGGGTGTTGCCCCGCAGGACATTCATCAAATCCTTGATGAGTCGAAGAGATGGCCGACCGATAGAGATTGATAGCCCGGTAGGCCTTCCCCGCCTCAAAGAGGGAAGTCAGAAATTGCAGGACCATGGTCACAGGAGGTGAATTACGGCAGTGAGCTGAAGATCGCCTTGCCTTTCCATGCGGACAGGTTGAGTATCCACACTCGCAGTTTGTCCTTCGTCTCGCTGTCCAGGGACACCAGATCTGCGTAGGATGCACCGGCCCTTAGGTGGGCTATTATCAGGCATTGCAGCACTCGGTAGTGGAGCGGGCCCATAAAGACCGCCTATATAGATGATGCCAGTAGACCAATGAGCAGTGCCAGTTGTCGCAAGGTGAGCTGGGGTCGGATGATGGCTCTGAGAAGTTCCTTGCGGATGGATCAAATTTTGGCCATCAGGAGGCTGAGCGTCGCTTCTCCCGAGTCCACGAGGACTCCTAGGAATTCCATACGAGTGGCGGGGGTCAGGCATGACTTCTCCCAGTTGATAAAGAACCCCAATCGGGAGAGGAGGTTTATGGCCAACCGGAGGTGTGTAAGGAGTGTGGTGCGCTCCTGAGCCATGAGTAGGATGTCGTCCAGGTATATGATTAGACGAACCCCCCGACTGCGCAACCAGACAATCGCTGCCAGTGGAAGCGCAGGAGGTCTCGGGACGTCACTGTAACCAATACAGTCAGGTATGCGTCCTTGAGATCTAGTTTTGCCAGCCAGTCCCCGTGCAGGAGAAGATCTCTTAGCAGGTGAATACCCTCCATCTTGAAATGGTGGTACCGAACCATGGCATTGAGGGGGTGCAGATTTATGATGGGCCGCATTTGTCTGCCCTTCTTTTCCACCAGGAAAATACTGCTTATGACACCTACGGGGTTGAGTGATGCCCATTCTATTGCCCTTTGACTATGAGGGTGGAGAGCTCTCTGTCGATCAATCTGTGATCCCGGAGTGAGAAGCAGATCGGTCGAGGAGGGGGGATGTGCACAGGGTGCCCCACGAGTTCTATATGGAAACCGCGAACAGTGTTCAGTACCCTAGTGTCTGAGGTAATTTGTGGCCAAGCTGGGAAAAAATGTTGGAGTCTGCCCCTACATAAACATGAGAAGAAACATGAGGTATGAGTAAACTCACTATATGGTTGTCTGGAGCTGGTGTTGCCACGGAATCCTCTGGATCGCCACTGGCATCTGCGTGACGGGAAGAATGGGGAACAGGTATTTGTCTCCTGGTAGTTGGAGCGTTGCTGGAAAGAGCCTCGTCCCGAGCCACGGGATTGCAAGTAGGTACGGCCAGACAGACGGCTCCTGAATCTGCCAGCCCTGGTGGAGACCCGCCCCTGGAATACCCATCTCATGGAGGCTTGGGCCTTGTTAAGGGCTGTAAATGCCCCAACGAAATGTCCCAGGTCCTTAATAAAGGAATCGCCAAAGAGCAAGCCTTGGGCGTCCTTACCAGCCTCCGTGAGGGCAAGATTTGCTAGCTTGGGCTAAATCTTAAACAAGATGGCTTTACACCGTTCTATAGAGACGGAGGTGTTAACACTATCAGCAATACAAATTGCTCCCAACCACGTAGGTCTTCAGGATCGACCATGCAGTTCCCCGCTCTGGCGTCTTCCGCCAAGTCAAACAATTTGGCCAGGGGACCGAAAATATCCAGGTGTTTGTCCTGGCATGACTTCAAGGTCGAGTCTAGCCCTTTACGGGGGTTCCAGCCCAGTTTAGTGAGGAACTGTGTCATTTTGGGGTCTACCTCAGGAGTGTCAAACACCTGCCTGGGACTCCGCCCTCAATATGTTACGTGCCACTTTGCTAAGAGGGCGCTGTGCTCAATTCTCAAGGTATGTGGCAACATGGTCAGCCGGGAGCCACTCCGCCGACCTCCCAATGGGACACCCAATGGATCCATGTGGACGGACCCCGGAGCAGCGGGGTGCCTAGTCCCTGTATCGCCTCCGGACATCTCTGCCTGAGGAGAGGGAAGGAGGTCAAAGCCCATATCTGCGGCATCCATCTCAGAGTCACTGTCCGACTCAATCTTAGCCTCCTCACCACACCCGATATCTGAGTCGGAGTCGCTCTCTAGCTGTGTTCTGGCACATTTCCATAGTCGCGCCCATTCTGCCTGGCGCGGAAAGGCTCTTTTGCGTGAATGAGACACGCTTTCTGGGGTGACCTTAGGTGCGCCAGTCATAGAAGTTCTGGAGGCAGAGGGAGAGGGTTGTTTTGGTAGCCTTTCTGGGTGCCTCTCCCGGTGGGTCCACAGCAGGATGCGACCTAGAATTGTGCGTCCGAAAGGTCGTGGCAATAGGGCTTGGGATATAGTATGGGAGAGGGTAGATGACATTGACCCCATGGCTGCCATAATGGCGTCTGTCACCGAGCGCTGTAGCGCTAAGAATTGTGACCCTTCAGGGTGGATAAGCCTGTCTACTAGAGTGAGTGGAGTGCCCGAGGTGACAGGCGTCTCTCCCAGAGTAAATGGGGCATCAATCTCCCCAGAGGGTGGGGAGCTGGAAGGTAACCTGGGTTTAGGCATAATGGAAAAAACAGGACCTAATCCCTAGGTGCTAAATTAGCAGAATAGTATGGGTTAGTCATCCAAACTGAAAGCAAACAGGTATAAGAGAGATCTCACCAGGGCCCAAACCAGTGGCACACATGAGGTAGGAAGGGAGACAGGAAGTCAGAAAATGGCCGCCGGCAATCTCGCGAGATTCGCAGCAAAATCCTATGAATTCGTCAAGTTAGAGAACCGAACGTTCGGGAAAAGAAATGAATTTGTGTAAATACATATAGAGAAGAATGTGATAGGTTCTCACTCCAATATTAAATGTAGAATAATTTGTAGGCTGCGGTAACCAGTACAATGATTCCCAACCTTGTGCGAAAAGAATTCAAACAAAAGAAAAAAAGGAACCGCGCACCGGACAGTAATATAAGTACATAAAAAATTTTGTTCAAATGGTTCACATATAACCTCGAATATAAAAACAGAGAAAAAACATAATTGTGCAATATGGTATGGTGAATAGGTGAAATTTTAGAGTGGATTAGAGTAGTATACACTCACTGTAACGGCACCCTCAGCATAAAAGGGTTAAACCGCCGTTTAGTAGATATTCCCTTCCAGAAACACAGGCACAGCTACTGCAGAACACCAATCCGCCAAACAGGAAACCATGCGAATGCCGTAAACAGCCGAATAGGAAAAACCATACGAATAGGTTTACACTCCTAGCAGTCGAACTGGAACAGCATACAATAAATCCCCCCAAGAACGAGATAAAGCTCCGTGTTGTGGGTCAAGCAGTGAACAGACAGAGCTGTGGGTTTATTGTTCTTATGTACACATTATTACCACCCACAGGGTTTTGGAAAACAACCAATAAACATGTACAATACACTCAGACACTCCCACACAAAATCCTCCCCTCTGCCTGTGATACAATTACCTTACACAATGGGTCATGTAATTATAACAAGCAGAGAAATACAATTTTTCCACTTTATTCATCACTTGAAAAGTATGCATCACAACAAGATAGATCGTAGTCCTTTTTGACCAAAGGAAGCATGGCTTTTCTGCCCAAAACCAGTTCCACAGAGTCTTCTATCCTGGAGATAATTGGGAAGTAATCCAATTATCTCCAAGGACAGAGGCAAAACTCCATTGAACACATGGCAGCAAAAGACAATAAAACACATAAAAACATATAACTGTGCAGCCATTGCACAAAACAGGTACATTCAATATATCCCCAGATAGCTCAGATCTGAGCGCACATTATTACTGAATGGCGCTCAGAGCACACACATACAGTTCAATTGCCATGGAGCCAAAGTCTTTCCCATAGTCTTTCATTATACGAATGGGCTCCATGGCATAGCTATCTGGGGTATCACCGCTTAAACAGGGCCAGCACCAAATGACCCGGCTTTCGTGTCTCCGCAGGGGAAAATCAAGCGTTTCAACATGGGGCCATAGTCTAAAGGCAGCAGGCGGGCAACCAGGCTCCTCCAGTGCACAGTGGCAAGAGTGGTCTCATCACACTCACATTTCGTAGAGCTAACCAGGAGCTCTACCGTAATTCGCATGGACGGAACAATCCAAGTCTAAGGATCTATGTGGAAGCGAATGACTCCAATATTCCAGAATATAAAAGACATAAAAGGAAACTCCAATAGTGTAGTATATTCTGATGGTAATAAAAGGAAATAAAATAAAGGATATGGTACTCACATTTACTAGAGCAGAAACTTGCTCTAGTATACTCAGCTTAGGTGGTATAATCCCCACCAGAGGATATGATGACCAGGAAGTAAGGTATAAGATGAAAAATAAATAGATAGCTTTAAAATACACTATTTAATAACATATAAAAAAAAAAAAAGTGCCATAAGAAAGTCCCACTTAACGCGTTTCGCCTATCACAGGCTTCTTCAGAAGTG